TCTTAGTTCTTCAATTTGTTTCCTAGTAATGATAGCTACGAAATAATATGTTGGAGTACCTTATCAATATCATCTTGAGTACGATTAAGAAGAGTGGGAATATTTGTCTTGTTCAACATAATCTCTTCACGATTGATCGTATTACTTTGCACTGCAACTCTTCCAATGGCAACTTCTTTCTTTTCACTGTTGTGGGCACAAACAAAGTATAGAACTCAACAAAGTATAGCAAAATTTTCCTTTCCGGTACATAAAAAAATTATAGCAAATTTTTTGAAGGTTGATGAATTTTTTAAAGTAACATTCATATGAGAGTTTTACTTAGGAATTATACCTCCAAAGGGTCTTCAACTTATTGCACTCATCAATATCAAGATCTATGTAAACCAGGCTTGAGGGAGATGTTGATAAACATAAGTAGAGGTAAAAACTATCAAAAAATGTTTTTTAGGATCATCGAGTTCACTTCTTTGTTTGGTAAGTTGATCAATGCATTGACCCCATAATCTTATTTTGATCTGGTTCGCCCTGCATGGTAACAAAAGTTAGTACATACATTTAAATAACATTTAATATAACAAAATTGATGTATTTTAAACAATCAAACACATATTATTGCATTCAGGTTCAGTTTGAAGTTGCATTCAGGTTACTTGAATTTTGTAGGAGAAAAATCTATATAATTTGTAAGTAGATATAAAACATACCATTGGTCTTCTATTTCAATAGCTGAACATCCATTAGGATCATCGTTAACAACCATGCCAACCACATCTGCAAGAACAATATTTAGTGGCATTATTTGATTATGGAGATATAGTATCGATATAATATTTAGTAATAATGTTTTGTCATACCAGTCAAAAGATATTTACTCCCAAAACGACTCTTTAAAATGTTGAAAGATACGAAGTGAAATTTATAATTTGGCACTTCAATTGCTTCTCCTTTGACTTCTTTGATGATAGTGTTATGAAAGAATTGTATCATGATTTTACTATCGGCTACAACACGATACTCTTCTTTATTTGGAATCACTGAGAAATTTTTTATGATGTGTATCATTCCTTCCTTTATTTTGGAACGTAATGTATGAACATATCCACTTTTTATAGATGCATGAACATAATCACCCTGCAATCATGAAAAATATCATTAGATTTTTGTGTAAAATAAATGCATTAAAAATTCAAAATTAAAAAAAAGTATACCTCTTCATCGATCAGAACCATGTCTAGACAAATTAAGCTTCCTTACCTTTTGTGATTGATGACATCACAGAGGCGTGTAACACGAACTTTGATTGTCCAGTCGGACTTGGATTTATCAAGCTGACGTATTAGAGAATAACTTCTGCATTTTATGAAATATTAATCAATCAGGTATAATGCATAATAATATCATGTATCATAAACATGTGAATGGTAAAGTATCATAATACTCTTTCTTTGTTGCCTTCGAATGATGAAAAATGCAGCCACATGGTTTTTTAATTCAAAACGGAATTTATACTATGACATGTTCATATATGGAATCATTGAAAAAGAATACTTTTGATTGTATAAATATATATATACTCTGTAATACGTATGTATTTTCACAAGTAACATGTTTAGCTCAGCCCAAAAAAGTAAACACGTTTATGGAATATTAATTAATCAGGTATAATGCATAATAATATCATGTATCATAAACATGTGAATGGTAAAGTATCATTTGTACGTAGTATTGAATAATATACCATTAAAAATGTTGTAGAAACTTACTGTGATGACATTCTTGATATAAGAACACTAAGCAATAGAATTCTTCAAACTAAGGAGAAAGCCAATAGTGAAAATACACTTTTGTTTACATTCTCTTTGTATATTTATAATAGCCTACATATGCACTATAGGTAGTTTTTATGTTTCTAATTCTAAATTTAGAAACATAAAATATACTAAAAGTTTACTCCAAATTAACAAATAAGATTGACAGAGTATATGGGCCTGGACCCCATGGCCCACATACTCAAGTTAACGGCGACCAGAAGAACACCCACGTGGCCCCCTTCGGTCAGTGGGTCCGCATCAGCCAGAAACCGAACTGGCCCAGGAAGCACGTATGGACTCCCGGGACCGCATCGGCCCATGGACCGCGTCGGCCATGAGACCGCATCGGCCAGAAGGCACCGCATCGGCCCGACTTCATCCGGGCAGAATGCATCTCTCTACTCTATTTACTAAGTATTGTACACAGCCCATTAGTGGCCCTATTTCGCCCAAAGAAGGCATGATTATTGTAATGGGCCTCCTAAGCCCATGGCTAGGAGCCCAAATCCACATTTTTACCTATAAATAGACCCCTTGGGTAGGGGTGGGCAAAAATACCGAAATATCGGTATACCGCACTTACCGTACCGAAAAATACCGGAAAATACCGAAATATTGGTATACCGTCATTTTCGGTACGGTATCATACCGTACCGGTCTATTTCGGTACGGTAACGGTACATGTTTTCAAATACCGCGGTATACCGATATAATACCGTACCGACTCCCTACTCAACAATTACTTTTAATTCTAATATATTGTAGAAATCCATTACAATTTTGAAGCCCAAAATTAATATTTAAGTTGGTTACAAATACAAAAATACAAAAATAAAGGTCCAATTTCTCAAACCCACTATAACCTTATAGGCTTCTACTACGCTAACCTTAAATAACTAATGAGTAATGTACAAATGTCAAGAAACAAGTCCATCTTGTTCCAAGAGCTTGCAAGTCGTGATGGTTGGGCCGCTAAGTAGCTGACGAGTGAAGATATATACACTTATGTGACAAGTGTATCTACATAGGGATTCAGCCAGCCGAGACACACAACTTTGTCCGAAAGTCTTATTCAATTTTAAAAAAATTATAAATGATTTTATATCCATGTTGTTTGAATAGTTTTATTTATTTTTGTTAGAGATCACTATTGATTTAATTATATCTATATTGTTCAAGTTATTTTAGGAGAATGTGTTACTTTTTAATATGTGGTATGTTGAACTGCTTAAATATACTAATAATTAATATTGTTCAATATTGAATTGACATCAATAGATTATTAATTGTATTTCGTAACATTTTAATAATAGATTTAATATGTCGCTAGTAATAACGATTTAGTATATTTCGTTAGTCTATGATAATTTTTTGTATTGAGAGACATGCACGGTAATTTACCGATACCGTACCGTTACCGAACCGAAACTTCGGTATACCGAAATGCGGTATACCGAAACTTCGGTAAGGTAAAGGTATGCAAATTTTGCATACCGAAAGTTTTGGTATGGCAAAGGTATGAGAAAAAATATAAGGTATACCGTACCGAACCACCCCTACCCTTGGGGCTAGTTATATGGGGTTGAGAAATATAATTACTCACTTTCTCTCTCTAGCTCTCACTTCTCTCTAGAATTAATACTCTATCAAAGATGATATACAAAAAAGAGTTACCGAATAAAGTATACTAAAAGTTTGCTAAAATCAATATAGAAACGTCATACTAAAATCAATAAAATATACTAAAAGTTTACTAAAAGAGTTACCGAATAAAATATACTAAAAGTTTGATAAAATCAATATAGAAATGTAAGGTTACTATATATGGTGCAACTATTAAGTTGTGGTAAATTGGTAATGATGCACCATTAAAGTTAAAATAAATAAGTTGTGGTGCAACTAACGTAAGGTTAGTATATATTGTGCAACTATTAAGTTGTGGTAATGATGCACCAACTATAAAATCAATATAGTATGCACCTCATATGGTGCAACTTCAATATATACAAAGAGTTTACTAAAACTCTAAAAGTTTACTAAAAGAGTTACCGAATAAAATATACTAAAAGTTTACTAAATCAGATTTATAAGTGCCGAATAAAATCGGATTTTATACAAATAAGAGTTACCAAATTACATGGTATACAAAACGTAATACTCTAAAGAAAATCAAAGATATAGAAAGTAATTAAATACTACGTAATAATTATATATGATGACATGGCATGATTACGTGGCACGCCGTATGCTCTTAAAAAGTTCCTCTTATTTATTTATATATATATATATATATATATTGATTTTTGTAGTCCTTCAGTTATAATGGAGATACTTTTTTACTCCTACAAGTTCAGGGACGGATGTATGTGTATGGGTAGGGGGGCCATGGCCCCTTCTAACTTTTTTATTTTTTTAGTAATATTACTTATAAATGAAATAATCAGTAAAGATTGGGTCAAAACTACTCGATAGAAGCTTTTATGTGAGATGCTTTCGGGAAGAATTTTTTGATAAATTTTTGTGAACATGTATTTCATAAAGTGTATATTATATCCATCGTATTTCAGCTTACATGCAATTGGAGAGTCAATTAAATAAATTATGGAAAAACACTGAGTTTCTTTTTATATATTTTTTGGTACAGTGTTTTTCAATAATTTATTTAACTGATTTGTCGATTGAATTTTAAACTGAAATTAGGTGTAAATAATCTACACATCATGAAGAATATTGTCATAAAATTTCACCCAAAGAATCTATCCGGAAGCACATCAAACACAGACATCCGGATGGTGGATCCCGTCATGTAATTCTGAAAGGATCATTCCTCATTAAAAATATGAAAAAATATGTTTACTCCTTGAATAGATCTTATTTTGTTCTATTAAAAATTATTTGATTAAAGTTTGCCCAAATAGGAGTCAAAAAGTCCTATTTTGAGATTAAAACAATGATAATCCTGTTTATAAACTTTTTTTGTCCTATTTAGAGATTTTTTTCTTTAGTGTTTGTGTTTGTTCTTGGCCCCCTAATGATTGAGTTCTGGCTCCATCCCTGTCTACAAGATTTATAACTCTTATTTTTTCACTCCTGCATTGACTTATCCGTAAGGTATATAAATACGTAGTAACGCATACATATTTCTTTGCCATAATCATTTACTAATTAGATACAAATAACATTTTCATTCATAAAGTCATCATATACGTAGTAATTAAGATCAGGCAAAGCTTATCTCATTCAGAGTACACACTATCATTCGATTGGTTAAAAACTGATATCTACCTATTGACTGAAAACAAGATTACTTTCCACACCACTTGATCAGTTGATCTGATGGAAAAAAAACACTTACTTTCAAAAAATCTGTTCTAAGCTATATATCAGCATATCAGCATATTCAATCATTAAACTTAAGGAGAGAGTGACTTTGATCTGGACAAGGTGGATTTGATGAATTTGATACAATCATCTATGGCTTCAGCTCTGTGATGGTCTGTTCCGATTGAATCCCGGCGTGTAGCTGCAAATGTACATGGACAATTAGTACTTCCAGCCACCATCAGCTGCTGCCTTGATGATCGGCTGCTGTACTTCGATGAAAATGATGAAGAAGATGATGATGATGAAAATGACGATGATGAGTCCAGTTTGCGGCATTTCACGGGAGAAATGATCCGCAAAGCGTCCGCCATGCTTCCGCTGAAGCGCTTGAGATAATATCGAAAAGGATGAGCCGATTCCGGTGATGCTCTCTTAGCCGGCATCTTTAAGCTGCCAGTTCGGGTGTACATTATCTGTTTCTCGGACACTGCCTTTATTCTCACTTCTCTTCCTATCAACATATTTAATTATCCTATGATCTCTGTATACAATTTTTTGAATTCTCAAATCTAAGTGAGAAAGACATACAGTGGAGTGACATATATACAAGTATTGGAGAACAAGGGAGAGAAAAGGGGAACAACAATGATGGAAAAGTGAGGGACAAAAAGGGCACAGAAATTTTGAACTTTTGTGATACCAGAAGACCAAACACATTGTCCACCCTACAATGCTTACAAGCTACAACCATGACCTACAGTCCACTAAAGAAGAATTGTTTCAGTACCTAATTAAGTACCTGTTTGGTTTTATTTACAGAGTATTCTCTCATTCCTGCTTTGTTTACCTCATTTTGTGCCAAAAACATTTGCCCCACATCATATTGGCTGTGTCTGCAATAATTCAGGCTTTTACTCATACAGAGATAAATCAGTCTAACATATGCTATTCTAGTTACTTTTTAAGGTAACCAAGAAGTAAAGTGGTGAACACAATGGAGAACAAGGCTGTTTAAAGGTGAACAAATTCCAAATTAAGTGGCTTTCATGTTGTTCTTTTAAGCTCAATGCAATGCTTTCTTCATCACTTTTAACTTTTGTGATGGCATTAGTGATATCATTATATACGAGGACTATGAGATCTTGTGGAGTATAATTTTATTGATCATAATCGAGAGGATATAGATCAAAACAAGAATCGAGAGTACATTATTTAAACGTAATAAAAAATCCTAAACTAAATTATTTTGTGATGGCATTAGTGCTTCAAATTAAGTTCCGAATTAGTCGATTATATACGAGGACTATGAGATCTTGTGGAGTATAATTTTATTGATCATAATCGAGAGAATATAGATCAAAACAAGAATCGAGAGTACATTATTTAAACGTAATAAAAAATCCTAAACTAAATAAAACCATTTACAACGCAAAATCTCTGTCTCAGAAGTAACTTAAATCTAGTTGTTCAACTCGATTTCAATTAGAGGAACAAAATCTAGTGTCTAATCTAGTGTCTAATACTACATTCATCCTCCTAAGAATTGCATAAGAGGATGTGGTGCCATTTTTTTTCAGAAAAGTAGAGTTATGTTATTGATTTGAATCGAATAAAGTAACCACCAATTAGAACCACAAAAACATTACCAAATATGGTATGACACCAGTGCAAAAGGAGAAATGTGATAATCATACCAAGAAGGATGAACATTAACATGATATTTTCACACTGATGTCATTCATAATACTAAGAGTCCATTTGGTAACACTATAATTTATTGAATCGGCCGATTCTGGTGAAATTGATTGCGTTCTTGTTGAAGTGGCTAAATCTGTTGAATTATGAAAAATTATATTCAAAATATATTTTAATAATAAAATTAAAGAGAAAATTATATTAAAAACTAGTTAAAATGATCGGTCTGAAAAATAACTCCAACCTTAATCATTTTTGTCTAAAAACGGAGATTCCGAAACGGGCTCTAAAATGGCTACATCAATAGGTTAATTGACTCATATTTGGTCTAAAAGAACACGAGAGAGACATTTGTGTTTCTATGTTCTACCAATCTTTGTTAAAGTAATATTTTGGGAGCAGAAAGACCAAACATGATTATGAACCCTACTAGATTAACCAGGCTAACAATTTTGACAAATTTCACGTGTTGCAGGGAAAGCATGTCTCGGAGATTCTATAAAATATAAGGGGTCAAATTGTGATTAATTAAAAGTTAAGATGCTAATAGAAAATATACATCAGGCTCTAGTTGGAATCCGGAATAATGCCCGAACCGATCACATCGGACTATCAATTATCCAGTCCCCGGTCGTAGAGGAGTGGATGGGCTTTTGGTATTTGCGTAGGCTATGGATAACTATTAACTAAATCAGAACTGATCATCTCTTTCCTCACTCTGAACTCTGAAGCTCTAACCTCCGAGCACCAATGGCGACGATCTCTTCCACACCAGCTTCTTTTTTTTTATCTGCTTTTATGGGAGTGTTTGGAACTGATTCTGCTTCTGCTTCTTTTTTAAAAGCAGAAGCAGAATCAGAATCAGTTTTCATGTTACCTCCCAGCTTCTAAAAAAACCGATTCTGAGAGTAAATTATTATAGCTCCAGAAGTGTTTCTGGAATTTCACCCAAACACTCCAGCTTCTGCTCCCTGAAAGAGCAGAATCAGTTTTGAGAATCAGATCCAAACACTCCCTATCTTTACTCCACTTCGGCAAGACCATGTAGACCCAGGTTTGTGAAAATTCGTGAAAGAGAAAGAATGTCTACAAGACACATCTACGAATAGGTAAATTATATCCTACACCCGGTTGTACGGTTCTCACCGTACAACCGGGTATTTTTGCAATTAATTAGGAGAGTTCGCAGAACTGATTTGGTGTCCAGAGGTAGAGATCGGTGGATTGAGAGTCTTCTGGGAACTGATCGATGATTAGGATTCTGGGTGTTGATGCAGGAGACGCTGGACGGATGTTGCTGCTCACCTGCTCGCTCGCTGATGCCCTGATGAAGAAGAATCAAGTTGTGACGGTGTGGCCTTCTACAGCTGGATCGATGTCCTTAGACTTGAGTTTGCTGCTCTTATTTTTTAGTTCTCAATCCCCACTATGACAATTTCTAGCTATATTTTAATAGTGTGTGGGGTTTCAACTTGTATTTCTGACCAGAAGACAACATGTTATATTGAAAAATTGAATTTCTTTTTAAATCTAAATGAGTATAATGCATAAAAGTAATGAACATATATAAATGAGTTTTTAAATGTTACGATACTCATTATGTAAGTTATATATGTTCATTTGGTACTAATATAATGCTCATTTTGAAATATTATATGAACGTATATTTCAAAAATATCATATTAAATTAGATTCACATTTGGTCGAACTGATTATAGATACAGAAGCATATATATCATAATACTCAATGACATATTTACGTGATTCTAATACTTGATAGAGTATGTGTTGATACTCAATGAAAATATCTTTATTTTCAACTAACAAAGCTTACAATTTTCATACCAATGCTCATTTTGTAAGTTGTATTTGCTCATTGGATACTATTGCTATGCTCATTTTTAAAAATATCATATCAATACACATTGCATGAGTGTCATATTACATTAGATTGACATATTGAAAGTGCAATGAAGATTTGATTCAAAATAATTCTACCTCTTTCAATTTGATTAATCATACCCAGTTGCGATTCTAATACTCAATTTAGAAAGTTTGATGCTTAATGAAAATGTTTTTAATACTCAACTAACAAAATTTATGATTTTCATGTCATTGCTCATATGGTAAATTATGTATGCTCATTTGATATTGTTTTTGTGTTCATTTTGAAATTTTATATCAATGCATATTTCAAAAGTATCATATTCTGCATTACATTAGATTCACATATGAGTCGATTATAGATATGAGAGTGCAAATCATGAAACTCAATTGTATGTTTTTTAATACTCAGTACATGCAGTTTGATGCTCAATGAAAATGGTTTGATACTTAATTAAAAATATTATGAGTTATGTATGTTCAATTGGTACTCATGTTATGCTCATTTTCAAAATGTCATATTAATGCTCACTTAATAAAAACCACGATTTTCATCTCAATAGCGGAGGTTTGATGTTCAATTAAAATGTCATGGTGTTCAACTAACAAATTTTACGATTTTCATATCAATGTGCACTTTGCAAGTTATGTATGCTCATTTGGTATTGATGTTATGCTCATTTTTAAATGTCATATTTCAAAAATATCATATTACATTAGACTCACATATTGAAATTAATAGGAGTGAATTATAGATATAATTTAATAAGTTTTTATAAAAGAAAAAATACGAAAAAGAAAAAAAATTAGAAGATATGAAGCAGAGATTGTGATACTCATTGTTACCCTCCTAATGCTCAATACAACAGGTAAAATACTCACTAAAAGTACACTATTGCTCATTTTAGTGGAGGCCGTGACTTTTCACTTAAATTACAAGAATGCCACCGAATCTTTTTTGGCCCATATTAGTTATTTGGTTGTGTTCCTTAGTTGGGTCGGGTGTACGTACACCTGGTTGTACCATATAGGCACTCTCTAAGAATACGTACAAGTTTGGGTTTGTCATTTTTATTACGGAGTTTGTCATTACACTAAACCGTGGGATTGTTAGTGATTCTAGACTCAGGTCTAGACCGGTTGAGGCAGTTTTCCCCAAATTGTATTTAATTGTGTACAATGGTTCATAGGAATATATATCTTCACATTTGCTACAGATGGAAGTTGAGAGTATATCTTCATCATGTTGGCATTCAAATAAACAAAAAAGGAAAATGGAAAGTAACAATACAATCTTTACACGGTCTTCATTTAACGGTCCCTGTTATCAAAAATCTGTTAAACATCCCAACTTTCCATGCCATCTTCAATAAACAGTCCCGACTCGAGAGTGACCGGATGGAGTAAGTTTTTATATTTAGAATTACCAGTAACACAGACCGTTAAATGAAGATCGGTTAAAGGTTGGATTATTAATTTCCACTTTTTTTAAAAAAAAAATATGACTGCCCTAGCCGGTAACAAGTCTTCGAGACTGATTACGGAAGATGACATGCAAAGTTGGGATTTTTAATGGATTTTCAATAACAGGGACCGTTAAATGAAGAACACGTAAAGGTTGGATTATTATTTTCCATTTTTCAAAAAATTAATAATTTATATGTTAATTAGTTTGTGCTCCTGAATATGTGCCTAGATTATTGAGTGTCTTCAAGGATTATATTGAATGAATTTTCTTGCACCTCAGGCATAGGAGACAAATATCAATTCAAAAGTAAACTTACATCATCCTTACGTAATTCAAATAATTGATTTCACCCTTAGGAATTCCAACATCTATCAAGTTTGGAAACTATTCCGTAAATAAAATGATGACACCCCATCCTTGAGGGCGCCCCAACACCGACCGGACGGCACGAAGGGGGGATGTAAATTGGACTATAATCACAATCTGACAGATAGAGAGTGGGGCTCTGTCCCCGGT